TGCCTTCAATATATAAAGTATAAGAAGAGTGCCAGGGAATGTCATTGGAGTTTTTCAAATCTGAATTTGGGCCATTTCCACTAAAGAGAACATGACTTTGCTTAGCCCTTTCCTCATAAGAGGGAAGGCCTGGTTCCCAGACTCCTCTGTGTACTTGGCTTCTGGAAGGCCAGCTTTGGCCGAACTGCCACAGAGGCTTGAGGAGCTGACTATGGTCCTTCCTGGTTTCAGTAGAGGGTCCTCTTGTTATTTCTCCATTTTAAAAAATTTGTCCTCAAAAAACTGTACTGGAAGGGAGGGTGGCAGGAACTTGTATAGTTCAGCTTCCAACACTTTGAAACAGATTAAAAAAGGGAATCTTTTAAATAAAAACTTAAAAATATTTATACTCTTGAGGTAATGAGACTTTGTCTATTAAACATTTGGGTTTCTCCCTTTTACCTACCAGGTATGTTCCTCAACCTGGGCAGGAATTGCACGTTTTAAATTACTATATTAGTAGCCTTACAGCTCTGGGCTCCCATCTTTGCAAGGATGAATAGTTAAGGAGTTTCAGTAGTTGATGTTTTTTAAAATTGATATTGACATAGGGAACATACTTGGAATTGCTTTTTTCTTTTCTTTTTAATCCTAAACCTGGCATTTCCTCCTTTCACCAGGGCAGATGGGAAACTTTAAAAGCATTCATAGTATGGTGAATGCTTAGGTTAACATTACTGGAAGGCTGAAGGGGGTCTTCAGTCAGATGTCGGGCTTTGTTCTAGCTAAGTAAGACACAAGACCCTTATGAGAGCCTCCAGGTGCCCCAGCAGGTTCTGTGGGCTCAATTGTAGTTGAGGTACCCAGACTGAGGTCTTTCACAACCTTTTCATCCAGCCAGTTTGCAACCTGCTTTTTCTGGTTCTGGGTTCTGGATTGGGTAGAAGTTGAGTGAAGGAAAAGCAGGCTGCTACTAGCCTGGTAAGGCTCATTCTATCCCAGATCAGAAGGACGGATGGGAGAGAGGTGCATGAAAGAGGAGGCAGCTAAGGACGCTGGAAGAACAAGATTCCTTCCCTAGCCTATAAGAAAACATTCCATATATGAAGTATACTAGAATGGGTGGCTTTTGTTTTTAAATGAACTATTCAGCTTCCCCACTCCTCACAAAAGAGCCAATTAAAAATTATTTTTGGTTATGTTTTTAGTGGTCCATTTGTTATAAAAAATGCAAATGGGAAGAAAAGGGAGCAGTCAGGGACTTAACAGGTTTTAGTCCTGGATTTCAAGCTTCTGCTGATGGGCCAGTGCTTGACTCATGATTTCATGAGCATAGGAAGAGCACTTTTTCTGCAAGGGAATCCAGGGTGAGGCATGTGCTTCTGGGAAATGAAAAGCCTTGTTCCCCTCAACCCAGACATAGGTTTGCTGCTTAATAGATATGCAGTAATTCTGTAGAGGAGACCAAATGTGTGCCCTTCAGGTAAGCCAGTGTACCCTTCACTTAGTAATGTTTTAATTATCCATTATCTTCCAGGTAATGTGGAGAGGGGCAGGGTGTGGGTACCATTTTGAAAATAGGCACATATAAGAGTGACTACATCAAACTGCGTATTTGTGTTGGGAGATTACCTGATTTTGACAAATGGCTTTGTGAACTTCTACGGTGTTTCTTTAGTGATTTAATTAGAAAACCGGTGTGAGTTGAAGTGTTGCTTCATTGATCTTTTCGCTATCCTTGCCAAATTTAAACGTATCATTCTTAACCCCACTATGTAATGACTCTTAGCTATGCTTTAGCTGGCTGCCTCAGCTGCTCTCCCCTTATCCTGACAGATGTGCCCACTTGTATGTGTTGAGTTCAAGAACCCTTGTCTGCCCTTCTGATAAGAAACTTCTAGAACTGGGTGAAGATTTAAATTTCAACCAAACTTTCAGGCCCAGGGAAATACAACTGAAAATGTATAAGGCAGTGTTTATATATTACATTTCCTTAAGGAAGGTGCAAACTAGCCTTCTTGGAAAGGATTAAACCACACAGTATTAGTCTTTGAAATAGTACTGATCTCCCAGGGGCTGGTGCAAAATTTAGTCCTCAGTGCTGGAGGCTATAGGGTGTCAAACACCACCTTTTACTTGATGGCATCATGTACTATATATACATTTACCATGTCAATTCTTATTAAACAATGGTGGGAAGTTACTAGGATAAGGACTTGTCTAAAAGTTTACAATCCAAAACTTACCTGTTCAGGACTGTTTAGTCTGCCATATTTCAAGTGAGGTCTTCAGTGTAGTGAAGGCCTAAAGGTAGAACAGTTTTTATACAAAGTAAAGGCTGGAAGAAAGCTGCTGCTAGGGTCTTTTGCTTTTTGTTGTTGCCTGCTTTGCTATTTTTCTTGTGTCTCCTACATTGACTTAGTTATGACTTGAGCATCTTGGTAACTGATAAAGGTCTTCCTTGGGGGACTACAGCAATATCTTGTTTAAATGGCTGAGAGGAGTAGTGAAGTTATTGAAGTGTGTTAATTAGGACTCATTTGAGGACATAAAACATTAGCCCTCCTTCCTCTTACTCCCAATGTTTTTGGAGTTCATATTATGGAGTTCCTAACCTTCAGCCCCTTCAGTTTGTTCCCATGGTAATTATAACATATCCCAGTTTAATCTGAACTGGAACTGCATGCTGGTAAGAATCAGCAGGGTTCCTTCCCACCCACCCCCACCCTCCATTTTTGAAGGACAAAATAAGATGCTTGAGCACTGGTTGCACAAGCCAAGGTTTGAATAGCTTTGAGTAACCATTGGGTTCTGCTTTTGATTCAGGTGCTGGGGGAATCATGTCCTCCCTATTCCTCTCTTCTTAGAAATCCAGCCTACCCACCTTCTTTCCCTGATAATTCCAGCACTTCTTAGATATTGCCAAAGGAAGCCATTCAGCAGCTGCTGATCCCCCTGACACGTACATACATACTTGCTCTGGAAGAAGTCTTCCCTCTGAACCTGGTCCCCAGCTCCCAATCTGTGATTAATTGCTCTTACCTGTTGCACTAATTCAAAGGGGGAATGTGAAGCAATAGGCAAATGGGGCTTGGATGAAGTGGTCCCACAGTACCCTGCCTTAAGCCGCTGAGGTGATGAGTTCACTGCTCATGTGACCCTCCACCTTTGTGGATCCCTCTTGGTTTGTGACCAGTGTGTCTGTTTCTTGAGGTTGTACAAACTTGACAAAAGTTAATACTTTTGTTTGTATTCTCTGCACTGTTGCACTCTCCACACAGCCCCTTGAAT